ACTAAAAATACCRTATGTAACTGGTAGAGAAACGGAAAATAATCTTCCCTCAAATAAAACACCTGCTACCATTAGGCAATACAGGTTTCCAGATACCCTGACCAATTCCAAAGCAAAAAAAAAAAAAAAAAAATCCCTACCCCCCTTTTTTTCTCCCTTGGCTGGAAGGGTAATAGCTGCAACACAGAGCAGTAACACTTAATTTTTCCTGCCTGTTTGTAATCAGAGCTCTGACAGACCCAGACACCCCACAAAACTGATTAAAATTGAGAAAAATTGCCATGTTTTACATAGTTTTTACATATCTTTGTTCTAAATGCTAAAGACCTGCGAGACATTCCTCTCATCAAGAACAAATACACAGACAACAGCACAGCAGCCTTCAGTGATACAACAAAGGACAATTTAAGACAAATGACTTGGAGCAAATGCTATCACTGAATAATCCCACAGCAGCTGTCGTAATTAGTTACCTCCAATCTCATCAGAATCAGGGAAGTTAGAGTTAAAATAGAGCTCTCTTCCTGTAACATTGTGTAACTCCAAAACAGCAGCATTATCCTCGCTATTTTAGAATTAACATTTCTCCATAAGATAATGTGGAACCACTCGATTCTTCCACGCCAGAACACCCGGTAAAAGCCGAGAGATGACAAAAGAAACTCGGTCAAGTTTGAGCCTCTCAGTACCTTATTTCCTGTCTAAAGAGCCCTTTTGTTCTGCTTCCCTGCATAAATGTTAATATCCTGCCATCATTAGAGAGCGAACCGACGAAGGAAAGCCCCACGCACATGAACTCCACTGCCCCGGAGGGCGGAACGACGCCACACGACGCGATTAGAACCGCAAAATTCCTACCAACACGATCTCCACAATTTTCTGTTCGCTTCACCCCAGATTAACTTCACTTGGAGCTGCACTTCGGCGCAACCTACCCTGGGCAGCGGGCCCGCCCTCGCGCTCCTATTGGTGGAGGCGGCGGAGTCCCGCCCCGCCGGCCGGGTTCTGSCCGCTGATTGGCGGAGCGGCCTGTCCGTCACGCAAAGAACTTTTCCTCGCTAGCAGGTTAGGCTGGGCGGGCTCGGGCACCCCGGGCGCGCGCTCTTAAAGGGACCGTGCCCCGCTCCCGCCGTGCCAAACCGAGCCGCGGGCGGGCGGACCCCGGCACCGATCCCCGAGCCGGATCCCGGTCCCCGGTCCCCCYGGGCCGCCCGCCCCTCCCGGCGCCTCGCTCCCGGCCGGGGGCTCGGGGGTGGAAGAGAGAAGAACGCCCGCGCGGGCTGGGAACGCTTCTCCCGCGGCAATTACACAACTGCCGCTTGCTCCACTTATGGGATAAAATTAGCTGTGGGTTTGGAGCCCATCCGCGCTTTAAGGGTGACTGGAGTTACCCTGGGAGGCCGAGCACACGATATAAATTAGTAACCCCGGCTAAAAATATATCGGGTCGCCGGTTCCAAAGACTTCCACCCATTTAAAGCATGAGTCAGCAGGAGCTCCGCAGGAAGTGACTGTCTCCATCCCACAAGGTACCAMGGCTTCTGCCAGAAACTTTTTGTGCTTATTCAGGCTTCACTTGACTGAACAAATTTGCAAGATTCTGGTCACGTTGTGACAACAGCGTTTCTCACGGCACAGCTTCCTCTCAGCACTACACAAAAACTGTCCTTTAGATTAAAAGGGTTTCTTAATCCTCAGTGCAAACACAGATATGGTTCCTTATCCATCCATCCAGTGAAAAGACGAGTAAAAACGAAACTAGGCTTAATAAATATTTCACAAGTGCAGCTATGACACCTGGTTCAAGACAATCCTTACCCCATTCCTATCAAGCAACCTTGGGAAGAGCCAGAACCCAGTCAGCGTTSCCTCCTGCACCCACAAGTATCATCATCGTTACACAAGACTTATCTGGRTAGCAAGGTTGCCTTATATAAAATATTTTCATGTGTTTAGTGTAAAATAACTAAAAATATTTTAGTTAGAGGAAGATAAAGCACTTGTCAGCACAAGCACATTTGGGTTGTTTTTGTCGTGTGCGAAGGCAGAGRGGAAAAACTTGTTTCTGGTTCTTGCCACYTTTCCTCTCCCAGTGCYGGAGCTGCCTCCCTTCCCTTACTTCACCCATTACCAASACCACAAAATGGGGATGTKTTAACTTCCTTACCACAGTAATAAAGTCCAAGGCTGTCTAGCACACTGCTTTACTGCAAATACCACAYAACACCAAAAAATATTTACAGCTAAGTCTTCCATGGAGCTGTGATACACCAAAAGAGCATAAAAACACCTTCAGGAAGGACATTTACTTCTGGAAAATGATGAAMTAGCACATTTTGTGTTACCTATTTTAGAGCAACCTATCATAACACAAATCCAAGTAGGCCTGGAAAAGCAGCAGCTGGTTGTATGTTGAGGTGTATGAAGCACTACAAGAACAAAATTAAGAACATCCACATAACTYCCCCCATAATACCTAAAATAAAAGCTGAAAGAAGCAGACCTTAATCCTCGCATCTGAATTCAGTGGCCTGTGAGAGCCAGCACTTCTGGAAGCTGATCTGGGGTCCCCTGAGGATAACTCATACTTGCATGACACTTTTTTTGACTAACCCTTATCTAAGCAATCAAAACCAAGAACACAGTTCACGCAAACAAAACAGACCAGTAAAGTGTCCCTCAAGTATCTCAATAACCAATCTGGGAAAGCTTCAATTTAGAACACATTAACTTTAGGCCCTTAAAAACAGCAGCACAAGTCACAAAWCATATCAACCAAACTGCCAAGTGCTAGAAGACATGACAACCCTGAAGTCAGCGCTGTTGTCTGGGTGCTTTCAAAAGGAGAGGSACGAAAAAACCCAAACCAAACAARTTACTCTGAAAGTTCCCAGCTCTGTATGCTATCCCAGCAGTCTCACCACCTTTAATGGCAATGAAAAATAATTTTTATCATCAAACATCCCACACTTCAGCTCATGTTTCTATCATGCAGGCAACTAGCAGCCCTTATCACTACAAGGGAGATGTTCCATCCCTTTTCCTCCCCACCTCTTCCCCCCCAAGCCCTACAGTCTGGCTGACTCCTGAAACCCTGTACTGGTGCTCATCAGCCCCTTCCACCTGCCTTGAGTCTCTGAGCTGGCAGAAGTTTGGCCAGCCTCTGATAAGCAAGAGTATGGCTTACCCAGAGCAGACAGGGGATGGCAAAGCAGATTCTCCTCCATTGAGCACTGGCCTCCTGGATTTGCTTACCTCATCTCATTTAAAACCAAAACAAACACACATATACACACACAAAACAAAACTGTCACATTAAGAAAGTCCCAGGAGTAATCTGCTATCCTCATGAAAGTGAAGATCCCCACATCATCTGTCAATGGGATATCCAAACTAGATTCATGGTTTATCCTAGGTCAATGGACTAGAAATCATGAGTGAACACATCTGTACCTAAATGTTGAGAATCCATGCATTAAAAATTGCTAYTCAAGTCATTATCCCATGCTGAAGGAAATGTAGTGCAACTAGGCATTAAAAAGTCTAATTTTTAGCCTCAGTCTCTGCAAAAAGCAATCTATTTTCCCCTCTAAACATACGTTCTGGAAAATTGGCACAGGCACATTTTAAGGTTCATGCTCAAGTTAAGCTTTTGCTACTCTTACAATACCTGTAGCAATACAGAAAAGAAAAAAAAAAAAAAAAACAAAACAAAACCAGCAGACTGCAGCTGCAAGAACACTAGGAAGGGAAGGTTTCAGAGTGTTAAAAATCAGTTTGCTGCCATCCAACTTTGCACCAGGACAGTAAGAGAGCACCTGACTCTCATTTGACTGTTGTAATCATGGAACAGCTACAAGCCCATTTGTTCTGTAATCTTACATGTGCAGAAGACAGYAAGTTTGGAGGACTTGACAGCTCAAGAGATCAGGAACAGAGCCTTTCATCTTTAAGTCACCAGTTCAGAGACAAGAATAGTAGTGATCAAAAGCTACGTGTGATGGCTGTTCAGGGATTAGATGAAGAGGTGGTTACTCAATGTCCAGTTTCCAACAGATCAGTGTGAACCACAAGAGCTTTCTTCACTATTTTGCACCTGGTCTTCTGTCCCGAACCCCTTATACTTCCTGAATTCTGTACATGTTAATAAGTAGCAAAGAAACTGATCTGCTGCATACACACACTGAACTGGCATTGGACAAAAGGACTTTACCCTTTGGCTGTCAATTATATCTGCACTACAGCACGTGCTGAATTTTTTATTTWTTATTATTCTAGCTCGGACTTTTAGCTTTYCTTATTACTAGAGACAGCTTTCAAAGTCATATTTAGCTTCCCAAGCCTTTCACACCCTCCAATGCTATGATCCTGTTTATAAACAATAGCTCTCAAACTTGCTGTGTATTTTTCAAAATATATCAGCTTTAAGAGCATGTTAGTGTAGGAATTTGAGAACTTTGTCTCTTACTCCGAGACAATATTATTAAATTTTTTATCAAACCTAAAAGAGCCATTAACTTCACAACAGCCATGTCTACATAAAAGCAGTGGGGAAAAAAAATCACTATGTGAAGAAACAAACATTCCATTTCATATTATGCATTCTTCAATACATCAGTGTGCAGTCTTTGCAAAGTCTGCTAGCAATAGCTCCTTTCCAGCCTGACTTAAGTTYTGAAAGTCTGTAAAAGTACCTGGAATTTCCAGGCTGGATAAGCAAGATRAAAACAAGTTCAGAGTGTATGTTGACTGAAGGTCCCAAGAGCATGGGTTCATTGTCCTGCAACAAACACCACCACCAAAAACAATCTTCTACASAAACCCAACAATACACAGTTCATAGTTCTTGGTAGCACAATACTTCCCGAGAATGAAATTGCTGATGAAAAGCCAAGATCCTAGAAACCTAGCAGGAAACTTATCCTTAGCTGTAACTAAGGAGGCCCTCACACAAAAAGAATTCAACTTGCTATTCCAGGCGTTTGAAGAGAACAACATACCAGACTGATGAGATTTCAGTAATCTTGAACTTTTGAGATTCCTCTTGCTGCCTTCAAACGCAGATGTACTACTGCACTGCAATAATYAGATCTGGAAACAACAAAGAGGTGCACGTGGTAAATACCGAGGTCTGCTGAGTTGTCTGGACAGCAGTACAGCTACACCAGACAGACACATTCCCCTGGATATTTCAGCAACTATCTCAAACCACACAAAGCTTAGCTGACCTGCATGGTAAATCCCATCTCTTTCTMKACTGGCAATAAGCCCTTAACAGAATCATTTGTCCCTGCCCTGTGGCCTCCTGGCCTATAAAGCTGGACACGTGTAATGGGTTTCAATTTCTCAGCAGCTGCCATATGGGTTTGCTTTGGGGTGGTTATTGGTGTTTTTTTKGGGGGTGTGTGGCTTGGTTGGATGCTCTTTTCTTTTAATCAGAACATGGAATTGTATCTTGTACAGCTGCACAACCAAGGCCTCTGSTGATAGATGGATACATCACTTGCTTCAGTCAAAGTCCTTGAAAAAGAATCTAGATATTTTCAAGACACTTCCTTGATATCAGGTATCTCTTGGGTGGAGCAAAAATAAGTATACTACAGTTTCCATTGAATTCAGCATAGTCCAAGTGCATTTATATGTGATCTGTAATACTCSTGTGGTAGCTTAAATCATGTATCTTGAATGCAAGTCACAGCCCATTCAGTATTTAAAAAAAAAGAAGCTGCATAGCAATTAACTGCCAAGAAAATGGAGCCAGAAGTTTGTTATACTTCCAATTCTTTCAGAAATCAGACTGATTAATATAGCTGTTACAAAACGACACACTTTCACAGAAACAGGGATTACCTTTATCTGTAACCATAGCAACTTTTCAGTAGTTTGTGTTAATGCTACTCTCCCTCTGATAACTTGCCACTATCTCTTTCAAGCTATTTGTGTAASGTTTTGAATGTGCCATCTGAGACCATGAGGTAACAAGAAGTTGAAATGTAAATTTACATTCTTCAATCACACTCCTATAAGTATACTATGTCATATACAACATTGTTAATTTTTGCCATAAATTTGTGATTAGTCAAGGAGTAAAATAGTGACAGATTAAAATAAGTTTAACATGATTCACAGGTTTTTAAGACAAACATTTTAAGAGGTATTCTATGAAATACATACAGGAGACAGTTTCTCCAGTAGTGAAGAATATCTTCTCCTCTATCTGCAAAGTAATAAACCCAAGGAATTATGCCACTGACATGTCAGAGACTTTGTTATTCAGCATTATAAGGAAGAAACATCCTCCCAAAATACACTTATTTTGGCCTGAACAAATACAAGGCAGGTCAGAAAAGAGCCAGTCCCCTTGTTCTAAGTTAGGTGATAATAAAGAACAGGTGTAGGTACCTCAGCACTACAAAAAAAATCAGATAAATTCCGAGAGTAAAGTTATAAAAGAGGACAGATGAGAAAGAGACAAAGGAAGGAACTGACATATTTACTTCCTCAATTGTTGACTTACCATCATCCACAGTTMAGAAGAGGATTAGCACTCTATGCAAAAAACTATTTAAGATTATAGAAGAAAAACAAAACCATTTGCTTGTAAGCAGGAGCAAGAAGAGAGCAATTTTTTTTCCCCTGAAGTTCACAGGGCATTTTACCAAGCTGTGCCCTTCTCTTTTCAGTGTAGAGYTTGGCACAGCTAAGATGTGAGCACAGAACTTTAGAAGAGTGAAAGAAACTCGGCACGCTCTTTGCTCTCTGTAACTCTTATGCAATGACACCTATTATAGGACAAGCCTGGACAAACACTCGGGGAATGGACTTCAGAACACAACGGTGCACTTGAAGTCAATCCACGCAGGGGGTGCAGTAACTACCATGGTTTTGCTTAATGCCTCCACATTACATCAGCACAGAGGGTGGAAGCTTCTGTATTTCATCGTTCCTGCTGTTGTTATTAGCAGTACGATAACTGCCCTTTTTATTTTCTAAGGTTACCCAGTCCTAACATCCTGTGGAAACACGAGTGGATGTTCACACCCCTTATCTATCACTCCAGGCTTTTGGCAAAGCCTAGGAGGTAAGTCGGGTTAAATCTCACGAGTTCCTGGGCAAACACCAAAACAACAACAGTAACTTTTCATAAAGCACAACGCAAAAGTACGACAGACCGCGTAAGCGTTAACCCTTGGTTTAACTAAAACAGCAGCACAACACAAACTGCATATTGATCCTCGAACATCCCCGTCCCCACGCCAGCCAAACCTGCTGCACTGGGCTCACCCGAGGGGCAGCGGGGCCCAGCCCAGCCCCGAGCCGACAGGGCACCGCCGCCGGCTGCAGCCCGGCCCCGAAACCCCCGCGGTCCGTGCGAGGAGCGGAGCCAGGCCCGGCCGGCGCAGCGCTGGCGGCGGGCCGCCTATCCTCTCCCTTCCACCCAAGGACACGAGTACAAACACCTCTGCCCCGGGATGGCTCCTGCGCACGCAGCCGCCCGCCGGGGGTGGGGAGAGGAGGACGGAACCACCAAAAAAGGCAGAAAAAGAACCACGGGCCCCGCGCCCGCCGCAGCCCCTCAGCCCCTCGCCCGGCGGCTGCGAGGGTCGGGGATACGAAGGGGGGACCCTCCCCACAACCCCTCCGCCGCTCCCCGGTGCCGGTGGGCGGCCGCCGTTCCCCCGTTCCCCCGCCCCACCGCGGTGCGGAGCCGCGGCCGCAGCCCCGGCCCGGGCGCCCCGGCCCCGCCGCGCTCCCTCACCTGCGCCGGCCCCGCCGCGCCCGCCGGCCCCGCTCGCTCCTCACCAAACTTTTTTTTCCCCTTTCTCCGTGTTTCGTTGCCCTCGGAGTGACGCGGGCGGGCGCTGATTGGCGGAGCGCGGGAAGGGAGGCCGCGGGGAGCGGGAGGCGGCGCTAAGGCCCGCCAGTAATTATAGCGAGGCGACGGCGGCCACGTGAACCAGCGAATGCTATTTAAAGGGACAGCGCCCCCCCCGCCCTCAGGGGTGACCTGAGGCGAACGCGGCGGCGGGAGGGCGAGCGGGCAGCGGCTGCTGCGGACCGCGSCGTCCGCCCTCCTACCCCATAAATAAATTCATTTTGCTGTAAAATACCCGTGGATGTGCCTGCTGCCGCCCCCTCTTGCCCTTCATGTCCGTGAAGGGGAAGATCTCGCCGAGCGGGCTCGCCCGGGGGCTCAGGGCGCTGTGTGGGCTCAGTCCCTCACAGCCCCGTCGCCTTCTGTGGCCCGTGGGCAGGCARCGCTGGGCTTGGAGCCTCTTGTTGTCTATGATGTCACCTGCTTGGTTGTGTTTCCATCTCTCCCTGTGGGGCTCTGAGACAATCCATAACGGCTTCATTACATGCCCACCATTTAGCGCATAATTTTTTTATTTTTTTTTTTTAATTTTTTTAAGACACTCTCCCTATTTCTCACAGCTGGTTGTAGCCCATACCGTGCAAGGAGGTTTTAAAGGTGAGATTTAAGGATGATKGCTTGAAGCAGATAGGAAAGGAGTACAGGATTCCAGGGAGATGAAACAAGGCAAATAAAAGCAGAATTTTATCTGTGGATAGAGTAGAGCAGTGGGCCAAAGCTAGAGAAGCTGCCAGGAGGTGAGTGGAGTTTGCAGAGAGTTTTGGAGGAGGGAAGGAAAAGGCAGTTGAGAARCCGGAGAAGCTGAGAGTGGGTAAAACAATTTCCACTTCATACAATCGCAGAATATACTGAGCTAGAATGGACCCATCAGGATTATTGATTTCTTAGGGGAACTGTGAAGAGATTTAAAATTTGSGGTTTTGAGCAGAGGAAAGCATTGCAAGGGGACACATAAAGATTTCAGCRGAGATAAAGTCCAAGCAGACACTTCCCATTGCCAGAAGCTTGCTATCACCCACACTGTGAGCTGAGTAGATTGATCTGTAAACCTAGCAAAAGCACTTAATGGGAAGAAAATACCTAATTTGTTTGTTTGTTTCAAATATCTGAGCTTGGATCAACACTAGAAAATGCTGGTGCAACCAGCATGGAAGTGCTAGCATARCTTTACAGCTATTTTGGTAGAGATTATTCAGTCTTGGCCATCTTTGCTGATGCAATAGGTTTTCCAAATGCCAGGTTGCATGAGCAGAAGATGACCTGCATTGCATGTGGGTATCACAGCATTCACCACAACATTATTTGGAGCGCTTTCATGGTCTTGGCAGTAATCATAAGGAACTGTGGGGAGTGATGATCACATTCCTCCCAGCCTGTCCATGATCATCATTTTTTAATATGATTTTTCTAAACCTTAAATTCCCTCTGGTTGTTCTCRGACTGCTTTCTGTGTGTCAAGTTTCATCTCGTCATTTGAAATATAAATGAAGAATAATAGGGCAGAACWTCCTCAGTGTTTAGGAAAAGGCCARCTGATTGTTCTGCAGTTGTGAGTGAGCAGCACAACAGCTGGCAGAACAGCAGCGTAAATACAAGGGAAATGCAAACACTGAACAAGACGRACGCCTCCTGCCAGGAGTTACTGACCAGCAACACATGGTGCAACAAATGTTAACTTGAGGCATCAGATGTCAAGGGGGAGCAGCAGAATGTTCAAATGTGATCTTACTCAAGTTGCGGATGACGCTCGTCAGTTCTCATGTGCCGAAATGAGAAAACTCAGTTACAATAATGCTGGAGTAAGTGGGTTTCTTGTTTGGTGCAGTCAGAAGCTGCCACAGCTCAGAAGAGGCCWACAACTTTTAGGAAAATAGGGAACATAAAGTTTATGCCATTTGCATTTAAAAAAAAAAAAAGCCAGTAGTCAAACTGTCTCTGGGGAAGAAAATTCCTAAACAAGATGGCCAGGCTTATTCTTGGGGTAGAATAAAGGATACATTTAAATGTACATGTTGTTCCACTGTGAATGGAAAGCATAATATTGAAGAATTAGTATTYAGTTTTCTGATTTGAGGATCTAGGGACAGATAAGCTAAAAAACCTTACTGAAGTCAAGTAGGATAAGGATTAAGAGGGACGTGTATAACCAGAGAAATGACTAAGGTGTTAACCAYCCAGAGAAGGACATCCTTGGCTCTGAAATCACCTGAAGAAGTCAAAAGTGGCTCTGAGCCAGCAGCTGAAAACAGAAGCCTGTTTTATGTGGACCACTGCAGAGAAGGAGTTAGAGCCTATTCGTCCACCTTAGGTTGATCAGAATTGATTTTATTTTTAAGGGTGCACAAAAGTTCAGCAGGGCACAGGACTTCCTGAAGCATGGGAGCCTGATATTCAGTGGGATGTTCATGGAACAACTTCATTCTACCAGGCWTGATTTTGCTTTGACAGAGAAAATCAAAAGAAGCTCCAAACAATTAGGCTGTCCAAGCTGAAACTGAGGTGAGAGGAGAGAGGTGAAAGGTTTCCCAGCTGTGCCAGTGATTTGATGATGTATGGCAACATGGTGAATGATAATCTGCATTACTTCCTCATCTATAATGTCACAACTGAACAGTGTTTATTCTCTTTGACCTGCATTACTCGGATCTGATTTCATATAATAATGCTCCCATCATTTTCATTTCCCAGCACAACTTATTTTCRTGGTTTTAAGGACTATCTATTCACACACCTCTTTAGAAAATAAGGGCACAATTTTTCTGAAAGGAGGCTCTTCTGATTTTTATTCCCTTCTCCCAAATCCATTTAATCTTTCTGCTAACACAGAGGACCTTTTCCTTTGGTTCCTTTTATGTTTGCTTCTGCTATAGTGGCTTGTTATTTCTTTYGCTAAAGCTTTAGAAATCACTAGAGGAATCTTAGTAATGTATTCATTTTGGGGTAGATTTATCTTCAGAGCTGGTAAATGGAAAGTCCCTTCTTCACCTCASTGGGCTTTGGATCTGGTGTTTAGTGCTAACATCATTTCAGTTCTAATCTTGTTGTTTGGAGCCCAGTGTGCAGCTCCTGACACTGCTGAGATTTTCACTGTAGGCTTTAATGAGAGCAGAATCAGCCCCTGCTTCCTGGGAGACAGCCTATAAAAATACAAAAGAAATAAGCACCAAGTTCTCTTGAACAAGGAAATCTTATATTTTATTTTATTTGATTCTTAATCTCACTGGATTTTTTTTTTTATTCACAGATACTTTGACCTCTGTTCTACGCCTTATCCTAACAGGATGAAGGAGTTTCAGCTACCCAGACCTACTGGAAATTTGGCCCAGCAGTTATYTGGCAGTGGCCTTCATGAGCATCAATGCCAGCTTTCCATTGCAATGCCCACATTCAGAGATTTGCAGAATTAGAGTCCAAATTCTGCTCGTATTTGCAAGCCCACAATGCCACTGACTTCAAGGGGGTTGCAGGATTTTAGCCAAGAGCAGAAATTGGCCCAGGATTTTTTCAGGCTCCCTCGTGCTTCTGTTTATATGATATTACCATCAAGCTCTATTAGCATGCTCYGTGATGCATTTTACTTTTAAATTACATAAAGGATATTTACTGGCTGATGCTACATAGTTTGCAAGAAAGATGCACATATGGAAATGAAAAAACATCAATTACCATCAGGATTTCCAGCTTTCAGCATTCGTCTTCCAAAACAACCCAGGGACTATTTCTCAGAAAAAAAAAAAAAAAAAAAAAAAAAAAAAAAAAAAAAAAAAAAAAAGAAGCAGAAATGAAAATCCCATTTCTTGGCATTTATGTATGGCATTCTGGAGCCTTACTCATCAAGTCTGTTGTGAAAATGGCTGGAATAAAAAAGCCTCGCATTGTACAAAACTTTAATACTCTGCTTTTATTTTCTGTTTGCTGGTTTCCCAATCAGAGACATGAGTCCATCCCTAAAAATAATGCAATGTATTTCTGCCTCTCAGAGGATGGCAGAAGAGATCATCTAGGAAAAACTGAGTGACCACCAGGGATGACAGATAAAAATACAGGTAGAGGTGGAGAATTGATGGATGAAACCTGTGAAAACAGGCAAGCGAGATGCGACGCAGAGCACGCCGGGCAATGCCCACCTCTGTCGGGAAGTGTCCGAGTGGGCAGTGCAGAAGGTCAGCACTGCCCTGCCCAAAGAGATGGCACCTGGAGCTGCAGAAGCTGAGAGCAAAGCGGCTGCTCGGTGCCTTTCTCGAGCAGGGGGCACGCAGGGAGGAGAGATTCCCCAGGGCAGCGCTGCTCTGCTCGAGTCTCAGCCACCGGGAGGCTCAGCATCTTTCAAARTGAGGCAGATTGTGTTGCCACGTGGTTACAAATCTGGGAGCCTCTTTCTAGATAGCCTTGTTTAGAAATCTGGGCTGGGGCCTTTGAAAGCCCTAACGACTCCCTGCTTAAGCTTTTAATATCCATGTTAAATAGTTCATTGAGCACGGCCTGGTATTCAGGAGAACAGTGTGCCATTGTCGGCTGATGAGTAACTTTAGGCAAAGAAGTTATTTTGTACCTCCATCCTTTTTCTTCTCCCACATCTGCTTTGTCTGTGTAGATAGTAAAGTCTTTCAGGGCAGGAGTGGCTCAAGCTGTGCGTGTCTAGTCACCAGCACAGCAACTGCAGCCTCACTGGGAGCCCCTCTGCTCCCCAGTCCTGCCCTTAACACAGCTCTCTGCTCACGTCGGCCCCTSTCTATGCTTTGTACGTGCTACAGGGGTTTAGCATTAATTACTATTTAAAATCTGGACTCTTAAGTTCTGTAACATTAAAGTAGYCCCATACCATACGCATAAACCCTTCCACAAAAGGGTCATTGTACAGAAAGCCCAGAGGCTACCAACTGCTCTGGTGACCAGGTGCTAA